GTAACACATTCGTTCAAACTCAGTTTCTAATTGCTCAATTTGGGTTTTGGTTCAGAAAAAAATATTGGTATCAGCAGTCTCCAGTGCAGGTTTTCTTCTTTATAGAGTCATTTTTGAAAGCAAAATGCCACCTTTATCCTACCAGGAAAGGAACATGCCTCCAATAAATAAAAGTGCACATGAATGCTGCATGTGAAAGCAAAAGAAGGACTATTAGTTACAGGTTCTAATGTTGTTGCCTCTCTGGATGCAGATAAATAATAATGGAAACCATTAAACTTAGGAAAGACCATCTGGCCTCTTTTCCCAAAGCCAACTCTGCCTAGTGAGGCCATGCTAGATGGATATACAACATATATTTTACAACATTGTTTTGTAGAACTTTCTACAAGTCTTAATTTTTCTCTTTTCTTCCTTTCCCCAAAATCACTAAATGTAGGTGTCTGGCGCGACATCTAAACGCTAGTTGAAAAAAGGGCGAGCCTGATAGCAAAGCTGCTCTGAGAATTTACTTCATAACGATTACTGCATCAAAGAGCAATATATCATAATATTTTCTCCTTCTAGTAACATTTTTTTCACACATTTTTTCACTTATCTTAGCCTCTGCTAGACAGGCCTCAAGGGATTAAAATTTGGTGATGAATTCCAGGGTTTCATTTGCTGTACAGGCTGCTGCAGGTCGTGCTCTAAGGCAGTTAAGCATGTTTTTAATAGAATCTTCAGAAAATATTTTCTTCAGAAGAATAAAATATATTTTACAGCATTTTTACCTACTATGCATGCCTGTAAATAAATCTAACTTTTTTTAATAAGTATTTTAATTTTCTGAAGTGCAAGTAGTTTTTAGGTAGGAACAGGAGCATTACTATCAGAAATAGTAACAATAAAGCAAGCAAGACGGCCCTGTGATTACCCTCAGTAAATGAATCTCTTTCTCCTACAGCTCAGAGATTCACAAAACTGGGCAAGATTGAAGCATCTTTCAAACCTAAACATTTATCTCTTTAGGGTAGAGTTAGGGGAAGATGCTGCAAACCCTGAGGAGCTTGCTTTCCCACATTGATCCCTGGAGAGTGCACATTCCCTTGCTAATAAAGAAGGGTGAGCAAATGCAGTGCAGTGGATACAGCTGATGACATTATTTTAGTATCAGGCCTGCTACAGAACCTGCCACAATACCGTAAGCTCTCATCTGATTAATATTGCTGTGTCTCTGGTTTTTGCCTCTCTGCGCCGACTATTGGTTAGCACACCTTGGACACAGAGCAGTAATAAAACACTGATGGTAACTGGTAGTCTGCAGCTGCAGAAAATTACTGAAAGAATTTAAAGGACTCTGGTGATAGTTTTTTTGCTTCATTTTACATGAATCTGTGTGGCAAACCACAACAAACATCCCCAAAAGTCAGTTTCTAGATGTGTTCCTTTTCTGTGGTTTAAATCCATGCCCTTACTGAACGATGCATGAGGAGGATGAGCACAGACCACGGCCAGCAGATGCTCTCCAGGTACCATTCCGTGCAACTGAATCCAAGAAGCAGTAGTCTCCCCAAGCACATAAGCCACCTAGCCTCCTAATCACCCCGTTCTTATCTATGTGATGCTAAATTCAATTATTTTAGCCAAGAATCACCCTTTAGATGGAGCTGTGAAAACAGCAGATGAGATTTAATTCAATAGCTCCATAAATCTGCGAGGCACCTACTTAGAGAGCGGGCTAAGTGGTAGAGGGTGTGTCAGGGTAAAAGGACCAACCCTAGGGCAAAGAACTTTAAAAGGAATTATTGCAACCGTCTGACAGACAAGACTGAAGGAAATGTAGTGTCCAGTGCAAACATGGTCTATATTGACTGCATCACCCTCCAAACCACTGCATGGGCTTGGGTGCAACATGACACTCATCTTTGTTTTTCCCCAGCAAAATGGGATTGCATTTAAGTAATGTATGAAGACTGCAAGATCAAGAAGCAGTGGTTCAATACCCAGGTGGTTTACTTAGTCATGGCCATACTCATAGAACAGCATCTCAAACCCACAGCAGTGATAAACTGCTTGCTAAAATGTTTTTTTAGCATCTTCATATTGCAAATTCATGCCAAATTTTTTACCCAAAAGCTCAAAGTTAGCAGCCAGTATACAGGATATTTTGTGAGATGGGGAAAACATAATCTAGCTGACCTTGCCATTTAATTCATACAAATAGAAGAAAGTAAGGCACTGGTCTGGGGACTTGGCCACATAACTGCAACCAAAATACAGCACTAAAATGAGTTGAAAGATGAGTGCAAGCCACTGGCTTGGGATTCAGGGGAACTGGTTTCATTTCTAATCTCTGCCATGCACTTTGTGCTCAGTACTGTGCAGATCACTTAACACCCCAGTGCTTCATTTCCCTATCTGTAAAGCAAGGAAGAAAAGGCTACGAAGATTTTAGGGTTTAAGGGTCAAGGGGAATTTTACTTGGAGCTTGTGATTCATGGCACAACTCATACTGACAAGAAAGCTAATATCACAGCAAGGTTGTGAGGAAGATGATGGCAAATGCCTTCCATGAGGAGTTGTTCTTCTGGAATACCCTAACATGGTTCATCACAGTGTCTCATTTTGAAATGGTAAGATTGACCCATTTTTGCAGGCATTTGGAGAAGCAGAGGTTTGAGGGATGAGCTAGTTAATTTTTGCACGTTGCAGAAAGGGGAGATATTCCTTATGGTGAGAAGTAGACATTTTTCCCCCTCTCTGTAAAAACACTTTGCACTGTAACAAGTGATTCCTTTCAATAATAAGAAAGATAGACTGTCTTATAAGCCCTTCCAAATCTCATCACATAAGAATTGTCATATTCACCAAACACCTTTCATTAGGATTGCTAAAGATAAATCCTGTCTGGTTCTTTGTGTCTTCACAAAAGCTTTTAAAAGTGTAGATTTATATCTGCAGGAAACAACTATTATTAATGAAGCAGCTGGATTTCTTTTTAAATAGGTTACTTTTCAGCCATTTGCTCTGCTAATTATTACCAGAAATGCTGATGATATATCTACAGTACTTTGGGATGCTGAATATTATCTAAAATCCTTTTTAAAAAGCATTTTAGAAGAATGAACCATATCTGAAGTGTGAACTGAAACTGTAAAATACTATACATGGAAACCAGCTGCAGAAATAATTAGGTCACATTTCCCTCCAGCAGTTTTGCCTACAAATATATCTGATGCAATGTGAGAAGTATACAATAACATCATAATTTTGCTGATGTCAGTTTCTATTAAAGTATCCTAATAAGTAGTAACTATTCTGATAAATAAATGCATGTGAAGAATAATTGGAATATAGATACCATACTGAGCAATTCAGAGAAAGGTAATTCTCTCACATGAACTATTTCAGTATTTGGTTTTATTCTCTTCTATGAAATTCTGCACACACACATACACACATGTACATGCACGCAGCAGTTTCAGGCCCAGGCAGGTCTTCCTGGGCAGTGCTGAAAAATTACAGACCAGGGAAGCCTCAGGTATTTAAATCAGCAGCAGTCTGTCTGCTGCAGATGGATAGAGACATGAGCTAGAAAGAAAAGGGGAGTGATTTTTAAAAACTACCCAGTTTCTAAGAACTTGATGATATCAAACTCTCCAGAAAAATAACCTGATTTTGAGAGATCAGCAAATTCTCACCAGAAACTGTGGTGCTGTCTGTTTCTGACAGCATAGCAGATATCTGTCATGTGTCTTGAAGGAAAATAAAAAAATTACTTGGGAGAGTTGATGAAGAGGACAGGAAGAGATGTTAGAGAATAAGTACTATGGAATAAGCAAAAGGAAGAGAGAAACAACATCTAGAAATATCTAAGATAATGGCTCTGATGTGTTTTCAGGGTCATATCATCTGTTCCAGATGTTCTTCTCTTGTGGCTACCTCTTTTCTCAACTGGCTGTCAAACAGATACTCCCTATATGAGTTTCTCTTCTCTCCACATCTTTGTTCCAATGTGTTGGCTGTTTTCTTCCTCCTACTTATTCACTATTTTCTTTTAGCGGTTCCTTCTTCCTGCTACAAAGCATCCTTGAATTACCATAATCTAGATTTTTGTGCAAATATTTTCACAGCTTCTAGCTGAACACCTCTCCTTTGCACTTGGGATACAGCTTTCAAACAAGTTCACAAACCCATAGTCCCTCCCTATCGCCCACCTCAACCTTGCCTGCGACTGCAGATTTACCATTCTGCATTATGGCAACGGCAAGGCAGTGGGCTAGTAAGGGCAGATGTTTACTTTTTAAGAGAAATTTGAAATACTTGACAATCAATTTATTCACACAGGGCATTATGTTAGTTGGCCTCCGGAGCATTCACAGGGGTTCTGTTAACAAAGAGACTTTTTAAGATAAGTTTAGCCTAGGGGGGGGTCATCCTGTCCTTCTAGTTTTTTAAGAAAAATTAAATATAATTGTGCCAACATATTATTCATGCTTTCTGTAGCCCTTCTTTAATGTTTATTGGTGACCTTTGGGTGATAATTAATGCCAGGACATCTCACCCATGACCTGTTTTCTAATTCAATTTGTTAAATGCAAATATCCATAAATAATTATGAATCAATTACTAAGTCTATTCTACACTTCATCAACAAAAAAAATCAAAAAGTATTTCTGAAGGTGATTGAGAAAAATGAACTGGTTCCATAACGCTACGCATTTGTGCTTCAATTTATCTTTTCCTTCACAAAAACACTAATTAAAATACATTTTGCTAAATACGGGAACTATTTTTGTAGAAGAAATCAATTATATTCTTAAGTTTAAATCTTCTTTTTTTCCAGCCATGCTCTAATGTATCACTGTACCTCAGAAACATACCCTGGGGAAAATGCTTCTATTCTTCACTAAAAATCCATGAATAACATTATGTGGAAATTAATTTATGATAAATGATTTAAATTCTTAACCTAGAATGGTGTCTTATTCAAATGTCATCAGAAAATGGCACCTCACCCGCAGGAAGGAGTCAAGGGATCCATTCTCCATGTATTCAACTACAATCATTACTGGTCTGCCTGGAAAACAGCAAAGAAACACATCAGGATTATAGATGTATTATGGCGCTTTTGTAATTCTGGCTGTTATGCACAGATTATTCACAGTAGTGAAAAATGTTACATATTTTCAAAATCCTCATTTATATCACAAACATAATTCCCTGTGTTATTCTTTAAGAATTATTTTCTATATTTATTTTTTTTTGGTACTGGATTAGTTGGATGTGCATTGTGTGCTCCAGTGTACGCTTCCCTTAAAAAGGATCAAAGAAGAGCCTGCTATGTCCAAATAGCAACACTTGCTGTGTAACATTTTGGAACATATTTGAGTTAAGGCAACAAAAAATAGATTCATAAGCCATGCCCAAGAAATTACAAATTCAGTGCCAAAATTTTCCCTCACAGAAGAATATCACAATTATTTAGGGGCATAGAGATAAGCAGTTAGAAGGGATGTGTGCATTCGGTGTGTATAATCCAACAAAACTCCAAATTCACAACATTTCTCAAATCAAAGTTTTGCTTATCCAAAGCTGAAGATACACTTCTAAACTGGGTATTTCACTAAATACCATTTCACTGTTGATACCCAGGAATAAACTACCACTCTAGAACTGCTTGACAAGAGAGGCCCAATTATCATGCTAATCAGGCTACGCAGCAAGAAGTTTTTTAGAACTGTTAATATTGCAAAGGAGCCATTCTAATATATGCAAAAGTAATGTAATGAATAACTATGTTGGTAAGATTGGAAGGAGGTAAAAAGTCTTAAAATGGCAAACTTTTCTTTCCCTGAGAATGCCTGTCTCTTCTGGGGTTTGCTGGAAACCAGGGGTGTGCCAAGTGGTGACACCACAAGTCCACCCATGTCACTTTCTCAATACAACACTAACTGTTCCAGTATTTTTCACATCCAAAGGCAGACTCTTTCATGACATTTTTTTCTCTGCCTTTTGAATTATGTTTGTGTTTTATTAGGATGAGTGGATGAGAAACACAGTGTTCATGGTGAAGAACCGTAGAATGGTTATTTATTATTATGATCATATTTATTATTATAATCATTCCAGCACAGTTGTCCATTTCTGTACATGTTAACTTTCTGTTCAGTTTGGTTAACAGTGTGTTTTTTACACAGTAAGCCACAGCCAGGTATTCCTTCCAAGCTGTTACAGACAACCTTGAATTAAAGTGAATGAGCCATTTCTCTGCTTGTCCCAGCATCTTGACTTGGAGTTCCAGGTACCCCGGCGATGTTCACTCATGTAGCTTAGTCTAATCTTTCTGGAGTTCCTTACAATATTCTCTCATTTCTTCTAATAAAATTTGGAGTTCTTTCTGTATTCTCTCTCATGTTTAGGTCTTCAATGAATAAAACAGTGCTTTATAATGTTGGCACAGTATCACAATTTTTTTCTGTGTGAATATTCTCAGATGCCTTAATAGTCTTTTTGGATAGCCTTTCTGAAGTGTGAAGAATTACCAGCTTATTTTTTTTTAATTGAATGTTTGGTCTCAGCTGCAGATGTGCATCTGTCACCAAATCAATTTATATTAATCTGATCCATTGTTATACCCTGGTTTTGCATTATAAGCTTAAACAATACATCACTTTTAAGCCGTTTTCTTAACTCCACTCTTAACTGCTGTATATTGGAAGATCAGACTCAGTCTGTACCACTCGCCATCCTACCTAAATCTCCAATGAACTTGTTGCAAGATTGTGTCAAGACAAAATGAAACTAGCTCCATTGGTTGATTATCTTAAGCAAAAGTCTTAAATCTGGATACTAACACTGACTTCTCAAAACATCTTTTAGCATGCCAGCACTTGATAAAAGCCATCCTATTTTGACTGCAAGTTTAATGTATCACTGAAGATATTTATGTATTCCAAGATGGACTGTGACAGGCAATACAGTGAGACTTTTAGTCAGGATAGTATTTATCATTGCAGTACCTGTAGATCAAAAATGTTTCAGCTATTGTTTCAGTTGCTTGAAGGTATAGTAAAAAACTCTGCTACACAGCAGATTCCAGTGGGTACATTTATCATCAAAGTGGTGATGACACCAATTTGATGATAGACACCTCTTGTACACCCAGAAAACACTTCTTTTTCAATAATTTTATAGGTTTGCAAATTTCATGCAAGGATTTCTAAACATTTTACAAATGTAAATACATCAAGTGTCAGGAAAAATAAGGTAGGACACATCTTGATTTCAAAGGTGTGGTAGTAAAAACAGGTTCAGAAAATCAAGTGGCCCTCTATATAGTCAGTATAGGACTATAATGTATATCCTATAGGATAGGCTGTGCTTGGTTACCAAGACACAGTGCTGTATTTTCTTACCTAGATGAGTAGCACTGTAGAGGCACTTGAGTGATTCCATTGTGTGTTCGTGTTGCATGAACAAACTCTCCAATTCACAAATGATTGGAGGAATGGGACTAGCAGTTGGCTTTGGAGAAGCAGGATGAGATGTGAGGATGAGCAGCTGACTCTGGCACATCCAAGGGTAGAATCCAACATCAGGTGTCTCAGTCCAGAGACCGAGTTGCCAGTCCCAAAGGCAGGCAGTGGGACAGACTGGACTGCAATCTGTTATGCCTAGTCTCCAAAGGGTCAGAAGGTGGACTTGTGCCCAAGACTTGTGTAGAACAAAGTTTTTGGTAAGTAAATAAGCTATGGATGACATTAATTTATGTTAGATTCATTTTAGCTGCAAAAAGCAGATGTTATCCTCTATACTATGATACAATTTGAGTTCAGACCAAGATTAAGGTCTGTGCTGAACGCTCTACAAACACAGAATAGTGCTTTTGCTTTAAAGAGAACTACAAAATTTACTTTAAAAAATAATACTGGCAGATTTCTAAACCAATGTAATGTTTGCCTTTAGACAAAAGAAAAAAAAAGACTTTGATTATAAAAATCCATGTTGCTCTCATGGTACTAAGATGAATTCTTCATCCTCAAAACAAGGACAGGAATGAATAAATGGTGGGAGCAGAGAAGTCTCTGAGTGGGAGAAGCAATCTGATTATTTTACCACAGGGTTGACTAATGCAGTTCTGACATTGAATTATTTTCCTATATTTATGATGCATTACACACATGAATCAGGGACATTTTTACTTAAAGAAAGGGGTTTAAGGACAAATAGCAGTGGGAGGTGATACAGATGTGAGTCAGGAAAGCACTCAGGGCTCAGAAGGGCAGCACAGGCTGCAGTGCAGAGGCAGCCACGCCAGCGCTGCCTGAGCTGGCTACATGAGCAGCTGTGGGGCTCACACAGAGCCCCAGGGAACACTATGGGCAAGAGCATGCACCAAAAGGCACTCCTGTGACCAATGACGAGTCCCCTCCATGGCATGAGTGCTCCTCACTGGACAGGTGAACACCCAAACTCTAGTTTAAAGACTTGACCAGTTCAGGTGAGTGTTTTCACATAGATACAGGTATAGGCACTGGAGATGCATCTGAAGAAGAACCAGGTTAATTTTGCAGTCAAGATCCACATAAGAGAAGGCATGGAAAAAGGGCACTGGAAAAGGTGTCAGCTTGAGCTGAGGAGCTGGAATAAAAGACAGAGGTCAAGAGCATCTAGGAGCTAAAAACTGCAGATGTTGCTGGAGGAGAGCACACACCTTCATGTTTGAACTGAGGGAGGACAAAACATAAAAAGGTTTGAAGATGGATTCAATGATTAAATGAGTCAAACATGATTCTTGCAGCAGTATTAGATACCTAGCAGTGCTGGAGTAGAGAGTACTGTTAGAAAATAGACTTTTAAAGTAGAGAAATTATATAGTGTTCTGAGGCAATAGGTTTTAACCCAAATATGGATTTTACACACTATGTATATCACATTTAACATCTGTAGCACCTCAGTGTATCAAATGTATCATTTTACTACATACTTAACAATATGAAATTATAATAGTATTTATACATGACGTATACTGATACCATAGCCACAGTCACTGTTTTCAGACTTTCTGTGAATCTATAAGTATTCCCACTCCAGACATGCATATGGGATACTGGCTGAAGCAGCTTCCTCTCCTTGCATATGGAGTAATTCTGTCTCGGGCAGATCCATTTCAGACTCCCACCACCTCAGAAAGCCAGACTGAACACGCAAGAGCAGTATCAGTGCTTGGCATGATGCAGAAAAAGGACATGAATTTAATTACTTAGAACTTAGATGAATCTGTAGAAGGTGGGGGTGTTATTCATAGTTTTGATGTAAATACTACCTTGTGACAAGAGGCTGACTGGTTTTGACAAGGTGGGTTTTCTTCCCTGAGCAAGTTCTTCACTGGAATTCTCTCACCCAGCTGTACGGCAATGCCATTCAAAGAAAAGCAGCATAAATGACAAACAGTCTGTATTGATGTCATGCCACCATAGAATATGTTACAATTTTGAATTTTCCATTGATCAATCTGCTTGACATTTTTTTAATAAGCAGAAATGCAAAACAGAAAAAAGAAAACCATGCATTGCGGAATAATGTAAAATACCAATTATATTTGAAACTCACATCGTATATATTTTTAGTTCTTTTTCTATATTTTTCTATAACACAAGATTTTGATAGTGTGTAGTTTAATGGAGTGGCAGAGTGATGAATAAGGAGGAGAATTTGAAGTGTCATATCAATAACAAAATATTCAGCTTGTTGTCTCCTTTTGTCATTTTAAATAATGCAACAAAGCCCATTTTAATGAATTTTTTATGTAAGATTAATCCTCCAAAAAGAAAAGTTAGTACATGCCCATTTCTTCAGTCTTTACTTATAATGGAATCTTTAATACTTGTTATGGGAAGAGATCTGTTAGTTTAAACGCAGGATACGAAACACCTATAACAGCAAAGGTTTGAATCTGTTCTCTAGGTCATATAATACTGCAGTCTTCATCACCTCTGTAGGTCAGAATTCATGTGTCCCAGGAAATCACTTCCTTATGAGGTACTTTTTCACTCCAAAGCCATGTCCTGCTCTTGG